TCTATACTCCCGGCTTCGGTACAAATAACAGGGGGGAGGTATCGAAAATTACTCTCGAGATTTGCATTTTTGGACTCGGGTACATTGAAACGTCAAGAAATGCAAACAAATTCGTCATTTTCCTGTATATGTGGATGCTGGAATGTTTGGGGGACACGATTTTTTTCATCTGGTTTCAAGTTTAATAACGCGTGTTTTTTTGTCGAAAATTTCTAAAATTTTATAGTTTCGTGTATAAGGGGCATTGATGCTATTAAATATCGGTGTTTAAAGATCGAGAGGGTGGAGATAAATGGGTACCGTGTTATATCTGGAGTAGGGTCGGAGTTAATGACGATTTTATTCGTTATTAGCATATATAAGTTTTTTAAATAAAACCGTCTCTCCCCTCAAAATTAAGTTTTTTGCCATTTTATAATTAAAAATATAAAGATTTTAAAGTAAAACATGGTAACAGACGGCGACACACGCAGTTTCAAATATTGCTGAAAAAGCTAAGCAACTACTTGCGGACTTTTAAATAAACAAACAGTTGAATCATTTACTATAATGATTTAGTACACGATGCTATCGTACTGTTCTTTATTTGTGTAGATGTACCAAGTAAAAGCATTTTTCCTCTTTTGATTGTCAATTGAATTCCTTCATCGCATTCCATTATCAACTTTGTATTTTGCTCAGCTTTACACTGTAGACTACTTTATCGTATCGTCCTGTCACAACTTTAAGCGATACACTCTGTCTAATCTAGTGATGTTTATACTTAGGGTTCCTACTCGAAATTTTATTTTAATAAAATACTGAATTTTTGTTCTTTTTCTCAACATTCGTTACTTCATGTTCGGTTTTCGACGTTGAAGATTCTATAGCTTTATTTTTTCGTATTTTATTTATACATATATTTATTAAAATGGAAAGCACAAGGGGTCAACAGAATTCGCGAAGGTTATCCCAACAGCGTCCTCCCATTTTAGGCATTGGTTAATGGCCAACCTACATAAAATTCATTTTTGTTTTATCAAAGCGGAATTAAAAACACTCGCTATTTTGCTTAAAAGTAAGCGTAAGAAGAAAATTGTTCAGGTAAATTTTAGATTTAAAAGAATAAGGAAAACCGAGGCCCCCGAGAACAGTTAACTCCGACATAAGCAACATAGAAAAAGAATGGCTTTGTCGGGGGCTAAGAAACAGCACCACAACGTCAAGCTCGAATTGAAGCTCCTCTCAATCCTTCAATCTTTTTTACTCATTAAAATATTTCGTCGTGTTTGGCCCGAGAATTTCCAGTATATTATGAATATATAAATGAAGGCACAGACTAATGATACACAAAAAACTCTCTACGTCATTTGTGTTATCGATTTTAAAATCACGTGATAAATTTAAACTAACCACAATACAGTAAACAACTGTTTTAAACTAGGTTACAGGGCACCGCCATTGAATTCTTACAGCGTAGTGTAGGGGAGACCGGGGCAAGATCGGCATGTTAAGCTTTACTTAAATTTTGTGTAATAAATACTGCTGTAAACTGAAAAAAAAGCTTTGCATATTGTCTATTGGAATGTTACCTTACAATACAACTGGTTAAAATCAGTTTGGAAATAAAAATAATTAAAATAATTACAACTTTACAAGAAGAGAGAAATTGNATGAGAGAAATCGTTTGAAAGACTCTGTCAAAAGCAGAATTCCAAATATGTAATAACTTTACATAAGAATGTTCAATTATGTACAAAACACTTCTTGCCAACAACAAACTACTGAAAATAGCAGGAAAAGAGCAGAAATATAAAAAGGAGACAGCCATGCCCTGATTATTGTTTTGTTTTTCTTTTGTTTTTTAAATAAAATACTGAATTTTTGTTCTGTTTTTTCTCGACATTTGATAGTTCAATTATAGTTTTCGACGTTTAATGTTATCACTAATTATTGAACATTCCATACACTTATTTTTCCATATATTATTTACACGTGTAAAAAATGGAAACCACGAGGATCAACAGGGTTCGCGGGGATTACCCCCAACAGTTTCCTCCCTTTTAGACATTGAGTAAGAATGTCTTTGTCAATGGATGAGAAACAGTATCTCAATGTCAAGCTCGACTTGAAGCTCCTCTCAATTCTTCAACTTTATTTACTCATAAAGATATTTTATCATGTTTGGCAGGAGAATTTCCAGTATATTAAAAATATATAAATGAAGGTACAGACTAAAAGAAAACAGAGACTAAAAACTCCCTACGCCATTTTGGTTATGGATTTTAAAATCACGTGATGAAATTTAAACCAACCACAATACAGTACACAACTGTTCCAAACTCGGTTACAGGGCACCTCCATTGAATTCTCATAGCGTCGTGTATACCTTACGTCACGGGTTAAATTTATTCTTTTAGATATATATTATTCCTTATTTTAATATTGTATTAAAACAGTTAATAAATAACAAAACAAGGAAAAAAACTCGTAGTATAAAGTTTTTTATTATTTTATTTTATTATTTTATTATATATTTATTTTATACAGTAATTGAAAATTATAATAATAAAATATTTTATTATTCATACATTTAATTATACATTACATTTAAGTGAAACATTACTGACATAGACATATAAGAAAATTTTTTTTTTATGTTAAGAAAATTTTCATAAATTATTCATTATTTGGCAAAAATGCTTAATTAAAACTTTTGACATCTTTCTTCAGACAATACAGTTATTTCCCTTTATACTGAAGACTTGGTGTTCATAATGTTAAGTCTGTAAAAAAGCCATCCTCCTTCCCCTCTCGGGGGAATCGCCGAACGTCGAAGTCAGACATCGCCTTCTCCATCGCAGCCCTACACTCCCATCGTATCGTCCTGTCACAACTTTAAGCGATACACTCTGTCTAATCTAGTGATATTTATAAACTATATTGAGGGTTCCTACTCAAAATTTTGTTTAATAAAATGTTGAATTTTTGTTCTCTTTCTCAATATTTGTTTTCATTTACAGTTTTCGACGTTTAATATTATCACTGATTATTGAACATTCCATACGTTTATTTTTCGGTATTTTATTTATACATATATGTATTAAAAATGGAAAGCACGTAGGGTCAACAGAATTCGCGAAGGTTACTGCTTTTAGTGCAGTGTTATTTTTTTAAACATTGGGTGATGGCCACCCTACATAAAATTCATCTTTGTTTTATCAAAGTGAAATTAAAAACACTCGCTATTTTCCTGGGGGTAAACGTAAGAGTAAAATTGATCAGGTAAATTCTAGATTTAAAGAATAAGAACAACCGAGGCAGCTGACAGCAGTGAACTCCGACTTAAGCAACATAGATAAAAAATGGCTTTGTCAAGTGATGAAGAACAGCATCACAACGTCAGGCTCGAATTGAAGCTTCTCTCAATTCTTTAATCTTTATTTACTCATTAAAAATATTCCGTCGTGTTTGGCAGGAGAATTTACAGTATATTATAAATATATAAATGAAAACTAATGATACACAGAAACTGAAAACTTCCTACGTCATTTATGTTATTAATTTTAAAATCACGTGATAGATTTAAACCAACCACAATACAGTACACAACTGTTTCAAACTCGGTTACACGACACCGCCATTGAATTCTTATGGCATCGTGTATATCTGACGTCACGAAAGTTTGAATTTAATTTATTATTTTAAATTTGTATTACAGATTATTTGTAACTGGAATATAAATAATAAAGAAATAAAGTTTGAATATATGAATATATTTATTTTAATACTGTATTAAAACAATTAATAATAACAAAACAAGAAAAAAGAAACACGTACTATAGAGTCTTATTAAAATATTTTATTATTAATATATTTAATNAACGTAACCAACACCTTATTGTTTGCTGAGGGAGTTTTATTAAAAACGAACGTTTTCGATCCACTTAACGGATCATCATCAGGCTAGAACATACGAAAATGGAATACATAATAAATGAAACAATAAGTTCAAAAATTCAAAAATATCAATAAACTGATAACAAATCAATTAATAAGAATAAAAAATAAATTTCAAACGATACCTAATAATAAATAATATACTACAAAGACTAAACAATACGATCTATCATAGCTAAATAGAAGCTACTAAGTTTTCTTTAAATCAAATACATATATTTCAGTTGATGCGCTACTTGTAAGCTTTTTTAACGGCAAATTTCCAAGCCGAGGGAAGACCTTCCGCATCCCTAGCATTAATACATCCTTCTTTAAGTTTGCTCCTGTATATCTCCATTTTTTCGGCCGTCTTCGCCAACGTTGGTGAGTGTACTTGTCTCACGACTTCCGCTTCCTCCCATCCAACCAGGGATCCTTGAGCCTGGCCCAGATGGCGCAGGCCCAAGGATCCCTTATTATGTATTCCATTTTCGTATGTTCTAGCCTGATGATGATCCGTTAAGTGGATCGAAAACGTTCGTTTTTAATAAAACTCTCTCAGCAAACAATAAGGTGTTGGTTATGTTATTTGTTTATTTTTGCTGGGTACGATTGTATTCAATATATTGCATACATAGATATTTTAGTGTTTAGTAAGACAATGTTTGTTAAAAGCAGTTCTATCGTTATAACCTTTTTTACATATGTCACAAATATACTTTTTTCTATCGCTGTGAACTATTTCATGTCTTCTTAAAGTGTTTTTTGTTTTAAAATCTTTGTTACATATATTACAAGAATATTTGTATTCATCGGTGTGTATATTAATATGCTGTTTTAAATCACTACTTCGTTTAAAACTTTTGTTACATATATGACAAGTATAGTTGAATTTATCATTATGAACTACTTTATGATATGCCATCTTGTTTTAAAACGTTTATTACATACCTGACAAGAATAGTTACGTTCATCACTATGAGATGCGTGATGTCTTTTTAGTTGCTCTTTCAATTTAAAACTTTTATTTTACAAATATCGCATTTGAAAGCACGTTCTTCACTATGAATTTTTTGATGTACTCTTAATGAATCTTTCCATTTAAAACCCTTATTACAAATATCGCTTTTAAAAGGACGGTCTTCACTATGTGTTTGTTTATGTTGCAACAATATATCCTTCCTCTTAAATTCTCTTCCACATATCTCGCAGGCATAATCTTTGTGTGTTCTCTTGTGTCTTTCTAAATGGCTCTCACCACATCGAACGCGCTTACCACAAATGTCGCAATACACGTTTTTCCGCTTGATATTAGATTTTTTACTATTTGTTGCAGATTGCTTCTTTCGATCGTTAGCTAGCTGCAAACGTATGTTTATATGCGAAATTTCTTTTTGATTTCCAGTTTTGTGTTCTTTCACGTGTCTTCGCAAAAGATATTGCCACAAAAACTTTTTATTGCAGATTGTGCAGCGAAATGGTTTTTTTCTAATGTGACAGAATAGATGTGTTTGTAATATGCTTTTATTTTTAAAAGTCTGTTTACATAAATCACACGTAAATTCTTGCTTAGAATGCAATGAAAACATAATCCTGAAATATTTCCTTTTAATCTTTTCATAAATTTTATTGTATTTTCTACTCGAAGGAACGTATTTCTTTATTTTGATATAATATTTTAAATGTTTTTCTTTTTCTGAAATGTGCTGAATATCGTATTCTCGAATTTGCTCTTTCTCCTCAACTGAAAGATTAAAAAATAACATAATAAATTACCTATAATATTTGAGTAGGCATAACATAGCTGCTATAATAAAATGTTAGTGTAGTAGTTGTGTAATTGGTAAAGTAAACCTGTTTTTCATTTAAAAGCAATGCATCATTTGTTGTTTGCACTAAAAATAAAACATTTTACAATCATAAACTGATTGATTCAGCTTTAGTTTTTTTTATCGAACTTTTAAATGAGTGGGAAAAATTAAATTGTTTCACTTTATTTGTTTTTGTTTATTTTATTTATGTAGTTTGTTCCAGTGGTTATGATAGAAACGTGGAAGAAATTCTGTGCCTTTAGAGAGGGAAAAAAATCATAAGTGTAATAGAAAAAGTACCGCAGCAAAAGTCTATGGATTTCAAGTAAAGAGGAAAAACCGGTAGATTCTTAAAATGTTTTGTATCAAAGTTCGATAACTTGAGAGTAGATCTATACAACGTTTTTCGAGAATATTAGCAACGTGTTTTCTAACACGATGGAAATATTTACTTATTTATGTCATTAAATTAAAGAATTTATATAGTCCTCGTTTATTTAGTTTCAATACATTTTCTTTATTATTTTAGCGGATTCATGAACAAAGCAAGATGAAATCAATCATTAAATTACAACTCATGAGTTGTGATTTAATAATTATGATCATCTAAAGAGATTTTATTGACTTTAAATGTTATATTAATACGATATATCTAATTCCAGTTAAATGTATGACGGTTGAAACTTGAATGAAGTTCATCAGCTGCCTTATAAATAATACAAATATAAAAAGTTTGAATTAAGAAACATATTACTTACTTTCGATGCTCATTTCACTCCTGTTAAAGTTTTCGTCTAAAGTGAACAATTCATTCTTGACAGGCTAAACAATATACAGGAGAATCATTAATAATTAGTGATGTAACGAATATTCGGTTACTATTCGGTATTCGGCCTATTTTTCACTATTCGGCCGAATACCGAATATTTAATCACTATTCGGCCGAATACCGAATACCTAAAATCAGGAGTAATAAATAACAAAAACACAGTAAATTAATCATTTTGGTATTTAGATTTAATGTTATCGAGTTAGTGCTGTTTGTTTATATTTATTTATAACTTGTAACATGCACAAAATAAAACAGAAAATAATATTAGTTCATGTATTCACAATTTATAATTACAAAGATCAGCACACGTACACATCTATCGTTGGAAAATCCACGCACATCTAAGGGTCTGACCCTGCTTATCCTTCTTTTTAAGCGTTCGTCTTTGCTCTTCCCTTTCTCTTTCCTCTATCGCTCTAATCCACGTATGCCTGTGCATACATCATAATACGCGCTCACGATACTTTCGATTCGTCACTTTTCTGTCGTTTTTACAATTACGTTACTCAGCCTGGTGATAACGGAGGAAAGAGACAGATAGGACGTCGATATAAGTCACAGTTATGATTTCCCAGATTCGAGACAGCTTGATAGCCCGAACGGCCCCAGGCTTTCGCCCGTGCACGCTAAGTGACTTTCATTACAAGCATTTAGCTTTCCGAAGTCTATGACAACAATTGTTTGGCATTCACGGGTGCGAATTCCGTGCCAATATGCTGCCTCGACTTGTTCGATTATGTTATCGACTCAATTTCATATGTATTTTCACATTTTCACTTCGCGGTCCTTCTCTGTTTTTTTTCCCGTTATTTACACGTGTAGGTCATTTCATTGTTATTCACATTTCATATCATCACTTATCACATACTTCCATGACACTCTTGTCTGTCCGGTACAACTGCCAAAAATGGACGCAATTGGCGACGCGTAGTAACAGCGAACCAATAGAGAGCAGAATCCTTACCATAATGCGGTTTGCGCACCAATTTTCGTTCGTGCGTTAATCAAGCCGAATAATTTGGCCGAATATTCGGCTATTCGGCCACGCTCCTGGCCGAATATTCGGCTATTCGGCCACGCTCCTGGCCGAATATTCGGTATTCGGCCTGAGGCCGAATATACTATTCGTTACAACACTATTAATAATCACTTATCATATGTAAACAATAACCAGTTGCTCAATTCTCCCGGCAACATTTTAAAATTTTGGTGCTGCTGTCACTAACAAAACGTTTTTTAAATAAAATATGGCATTTTAAACTATTAGAGAAAAACAAAATAACTAAATTTTAAAAGTAAGAGTGAGTTTTATAAAAAAAAAAGTGAAATGCGAATAACGAAATAGTAAATCATTATTTAGTCCGACCCTACTGGAGATACACACGACCCCCATTATTTTTCCATTTTCTTAATTTTTAACCAGTAAAATTTAATAGCTTCAATTTCCCTAATAATCAAACTTTCCTGCAAAATTTCAGAAATTTTCGACAAAAAAAACAGGAGTTACTAAGTTTTAATCAGGATCAGGGGTGTGCCTCTACACAACAACATCCATACATACAAATAAACTCCACGAATTTTTACATTTTTCGACGTTTAAAAGTGTTCTAAGTTAAAAAATCTCGGGGGAGTCATTTTTTGACCGATCGTCATTCTTTTTTTCTGTTATATAGCCTATATCAGTCAGAAAAGTACAGTAATATGAAAGTCATTACATACTTTTAAATCACAAAGCTTTTTTTTTGTGATTTCATATAAGCTACATATTAGAAAATTGCATTAAAATTAATTATGTTTTGAAACTCATTTCTTTATTTCACTTTACATCACTTGCAAAAAAATTAAATAAATAATTTCAGGATTAAAATCGCTTGTTTCTTTACAATGTTATTTAGAAGTGCTTAAATAATCATTATTTTAATAAAATTCGTCATAAATTTAACTCAAAACACAGAAGAAACAAACGTTTAAGCCGAACTTCTACTCGCCACGTTCGACGTTCACGTTTTAGAGATGAAAACTTCGGCCGAAACCACTGTATTATTTTGTTATAATCAACTGTTACTTTACAACTAATTAAAAATAGAAATTGCAGTGTTTATTAAATTGTTGTTATCTGTGTTTATTTAATTAATGTCTTCACAGTAATAGAAAAATAAATAAATGTGGTATTTTTACTATAGTCGTGTCAATGGATCACAAAGTAACTTTTGCAAAGGACATCGTAAATCTTAAGTCTGACTGTATTTCGGGCCACCTTCCACAACACGTGGCCGCATCGATTGTGAACCTGTCAATAAGTCTGAAATATAATCATTGTTTATTCTCTAATTTATCGTGCAGAAAAAGCTGAAATACTCAAGTTACCAACTGAGAGATGTTTAAACACTATAATTTACAAATAAAAAAGTAATGTTGAAATTTGCTTTTTACTTTCACGAATGTCATGTATACATAGCAAAATAATGTATTGAAATCTGGAAAATAATGTATTATTTTGGAAATTTTTAGATTTTGAGATCTTTTGTATTCAAAAAACACGGTGAAAAATTCCGTAAATGTGTATGTTGGGCGTGCATTTTGGCGTTTATTTCATTTAATATTTCAGAATTAATTTAAGATTATGACACAATTTTATTTATTTATTCTGATTATTAAAATAAATATTATTATTTTAAAATAAAATCTTTTACTGCCAGGAAACTTACGCAACTCGTTGTCAGATATTTTCTTATATACTACGTATTTTTTATTTTATACACAATACACCTAAATTTATATCCTAATTTTATATTAGTGATATTGAGCTATGTTTTAACCATTCAGTAAGCTGAGCTAATATTAAAATTACACTGTAAAATATTTCGAAAGTTGTATTACTTACCATTACCTGTTCATTATCATCTGAATGATGAACAACTTCTTTATAATCTTCAGTCTTTACTTCAATCTTCAGATTTTTCAAATCAACTTTACATTCTGATTTTATATCATGTTTTACATCATAATTCTCTTTTATTTCATTCTTGATATCTGTATTGAAATTTAGTTTTTATGTTAAAGGATCCTAAGAAAAATTTGAAATATAAAATAAAACTGAGCATATTTTCAATAATTAACATATCAATATTAATTTACATGATTCACATCATCGTTTATTTGTGATTACAAGCCGAAAACTAGCTATTTGTCACGGCGAATTGGTGTGATGTGTGATACAAGTTATAATAAATATGATTAGAAACTTGTTTTCGTTATTAAATAAATCAGCAACGAGAGGTTAATTAAGTTTCCCGGAAATATTTAAAACTATGTGTGGCGCCATCTCTTATAATATTTTGTAAAATATATTTTCAATTATTATAGAATAAAAGAAAAAGTTCGATATTGAACACAAAGATGAGTTTTATAAAATATTGTAAATGAGAAAATAAGTAAATTCCTCATTAAGTCCGACCCTACTGAACATAGATTCGACCCCTTTCCACGTTTAATCACAGAAAACTTAAAAGCATCAATTCCCTTAATAAACAAACCTTCCTTCTAAATTTCAGAAAAAAAAGGCACTGTAATTATTAAATTTCACAAAGGTTGGAAAAAATCATCAATTTTTATAGATAATTATTATAAAATGGCATAATGATAAATTATAAAAGTAGGGATGAGTTTTATTTATCATCATTAACCCTGGGCTCATTGCCCGTTTGTGTCTGACGACTTTTCTACTGTTTTTTTTCCATTTCTCTCTGTCCATTGCCGATTTTTTCGATTTTTGTACATTTGTTTTACACCACTTCTTCACGTCATCAATCCATATTATATGGTCTGCCTCATCTGTTTGATCCATCCATAATACCATAGACTAAATTTTTCTGTTTTCATGCATTTTTGTGATGTGTCCAAACAGTTGAAGTTTTCGTTGTATAATTTTTGTAAGAGATTCTTTTTCATGTTATCATATTATAAAGTTCTTTGTTTGTAACGTTTTGCATCCATTCTATTTGAAAGCTCTTTCTATAACAGTGTCTTTTTTGTCCAGGCTTGAAACTGGCATGTTTTCTCTAAAGATTGCACGGCAGAGTTGCTTTATTCATAGATACATAAAATTAGTACTTTAAAAACTTACGGCCTGCGAGAATAACAAAAAATCCCTGTCTGAGCACTCAATAATGAAGAAACCATTGTTTTCTGAAAATAACAAATATTGAAAAAATTGAAGACCTATAAATTCTCACTGGGTTTCAGTTTTTTTTTTTTTCATCTCGAAAACGAAAGAAAATGAAAGTCTGAGATCAGATAATTTGAAAAAAAGTAGGGGCACGAGACATTGAATAACTGTGTACGAACTTTTGGCGAAGATCGAAAGTCACGTTTATAAAATGTTTTCTCCTGAAACAGTTAATAACTGACCAGCAAAACTGCATTGTCAAAGAAAAAGTACAATGTACAAAGGCAAGCCACTATTAATTTGAGATGAAGAGCATATATTTTAAATAAAATACACTAAAAATATGATTAGAATTTGCAGCCCGTCATTGTGACGATGTCATAATAAATAATTGCTGGTTTATTAAAATCTAAATAATCTAAATTAGACTTTTATCTGTTGTAAGTTTGTGTTCAATTGAATTGACAATTTTAAATCTGACAAGTGAATTAAATGTTATCGATAATATTAAATTCTATTTAAATCCTTATTCACTATACACGACGTATTCGCAACGGTTTTCAAATCTTACCATTTCCATTTATATGAATATAAGTTTATGTACAACCCATTATTCTTATCAGTAAAAATAAGCTTTCATAGTTTACAATTACTTAGCCTCTTACCTCTTTCGCTTTTATAACTAAAACGACTCCAAATAGTGGATCCATTTGTGTTGTTCGTGGAAATTGGTTTTCCTTTAATATTTATCTGAAATAATAAAATATTACGTTATATTATTGGATAGACTGACCTTTATAGAAAAACAAATGAAAAAATTATGTAAACTGAAGCATAAAAATACACTTACTAAATAATGTTTTTAAAATATGACCTACCAACTTCTTTCTTTTAATAGTAGTGCCTGTAATCTATTTAATACGTTTCAAAGGAAAATTTTGAATTCAAACAATGTGAATTCCGGTTTGCAGCAGATACACATATACAGTTTATCGGAGCCTCCAAATTTATTAAGAATCGGAATGCAATTTGAAAATAGACTTATAAAATCGCAATTTCTTTAGAGTGTAAGACTGTTTGACAGTTTATTCTTAATTTCGACAACAGAGTTACATAGGCGAAAGACAAGACCAAATGTGGAAAACTTAGAGGCACGAGGTCCTGATACAAGAACTTCGATGAAAATCGAAAGTAACGTTATTTTGATTCTTCGTAAAACCACGCAGGTTTTGTAAGGACGCCAGTTGGGGAGAGTTCTTTATTCCCTACCGTCGGAATGGCTTAAGGTCTACCCGTATGTGAGTGGCGGTTTTTAGGAGGCAGCAAAAAGTTTCACAAAGTAACTGTTTATTTTTTCGAAGATCATGCTTACAAATGATTGATAAAGTCGTAGATGTCGCTGTCCTGGTGGTTGCATATCTCTAATGGTTTTTTCTCGTCTAGCTGTGGTGGAGCCCCGGGGCGATGACGAGTTAAAGTTCGGAGTAGTAAAGTAGCACAAGATACCGGCGAGCTGAAACACCAAGAGAAGAGGACGACGAACACAACAGGTGTACTCGATAGGAAGCTTTCATTTGTCCATGAAGTCGGAGTTTTATAATTTTCTCGGGACAGAATCATTGCTAATTAGTTAAACCTTTTTCCTCTCGCTTCCCAATTGTTCACCTGTCTCCAGGGGCCCTAGTCTCGAATTTTTCGTGTTACAACTCCCAACGTGTTGAAGGTGTCACGTGGTGCCATCTCATACTCTGACGTCAAATCGCTAGTCTCGAGTTTTAACTAACGTGCTTTCCCATCTCACCATGTGAGTTGCTACTCACATTGAATCGATCATGTAAGATCGCTACACGAAAGTGAAAATGGCTGACAAATACGCTATTCTAATCGCAATCGAAGCGTTAGAAAGAGACGAAAGAGTCGTTTAAGAAGGCAACGAATTTTTCGACCACTAGTAGATGCCATTTCTTTTCGTGTCAAGTCAACACTAACAAAATAATTTTAATTCATAATTGATAAAATTATACAGCAAATTTTTTCCAAAAAATAAAAAGAAGTATCTACTGTAATTCATCGAAAAAGAGAATTAAATGATAGTAAATTATATGTATAAATTATTAAGCGCATATTATACACTATATTACGATTANAAATAATTTTAATTCATAATTGATAAAATTATACAGCAAATTTTTTCCAAAAAATAAAAAGAAGTATCTACTGTAATTCATCGAAAAAGAGAATTAAATGATAGTAAATTATATGTATAAATTATTAAGCGCATATTATACACTATATTACGATTATTTATTAATCGGAAGTGTTAAGTTCTGATTAATAAATAATCTTAATAGACAAAACAATTTAAGAAATAGATCGAGGAAGATTCATTTTAGTCGCAAATCAAGATGTATTGTAAATAATCCCATCATGTTTAACGATACACGTAAACAAGTGAATATGATTTACTTCCGCTCCACTTTCGAGTTCGCTCGATGGGTTTAACTCCACACTACCGATTATGTGAATCATAGTAACACGAGTGAGTTCAATGATGTCAATTCGAGTACAACACGAAAAACTCGAGACTAAAGGCCCAGGTGTAAATGAAGCTCCGTTTAGGGCGCGAGAAAGGTCGACTAGAGATTGTCTATTCGACACCTTCCTTTAGACTCTGATCGCGTTTTATCGATGACTATGACACCCACGCTCATTCTGATATTTTTCTAGTTTCGTTTTGCTTTCTAAACTACGTCTTAACTTTTAAATTTTCTTTTTCCCTCTACTCTTTATGAGCGTCGACGTCAAAGTCCGGTGTCGCTGATTAGACACTTATATAATTTTTTATCTCTAGATTTAACTTAATAAATTTTTACATATTTTTTTGGGGGGGCTAATTCCGGGGCCTCACAGTTTTTGTACGCAATTACTTCCTATACACTGTACTACTTGTTCTGTCTGTATCTTTCTATTGGTCACTATCAATGGACCCCGGCATGCACTTATGATCGCTCCTCTTTCTCCTTTTTTCTTCCTGTTCACCCTACCCCTTTCCCGTTGGTATTATGCATCCCCTCTTTTCTTTCACTGTATTATATCTGTGAGGACAACCGCATTAACTTTCCTTCTTATTTCTATCCATTCTCTTAACCTTTCATAACCAAAATTTAATAGCATTAATGCCCATTATATACAAGCTACCATGCGGAATTTCGTTCCTTTATCTTCAACCCGCCCTGAGATATTAGGCAAAATAGACGTCAACACACACTCACACACAATTATATATATACTTTGGTCTTTTTTGGGTTCCAGAAGTCTCAAAACGTGGAGATTTGCAGAAAAGTCAAAGAGTCAAATCTGACAGGATAGCATTACTTGTTATGAATATATAACAACCAACAAAGTAAACAAAACGTGACTTCATACAATAGGAACAGGTAATTTCCAGCCAGCTGTAACGTATACACAACAATATAAAAAATTTTAAAGACAGTGGGACCACAAAATTCCGTCAGTAAAAGAAGGGTTAATAGAAATATTAAAACATCATTCCATTTCAAACATGGATTAAAATCACCATATAATAACGTATGATAATAAGATAAATAACCAATAATGCTGCTGTGCTTTTAAATAGCCTAATCTCTTTTATGTCGTAAACAAAACTGTATAATATTTATTTAAATCAAGACATTAGACATTTTATGGCTTATCTTATATAAGCCATTGCGTGTCTGTAAATTGTAACTGTATGACTATGCCAAAAACGCGAATGTGGACTCCCTAGCGAATGTTAGCAGCGAAGGTACCTGTACATAAACAAATTAAACTATTTTAAGTATTTTAAAGTATTTAGAAATAAACAAATTAAATTTTATAACGATAAATAATTATTTTTAATTTGCGTCGTGTCTTTTACCGTACGATAGAAGACACATTTATTATGTATACCACGGAGAATAACAAAAAAACGATAGTTTTAAAATATATAAAACACTAATTTAAGTTATATTTCACTACGGACTTTCACACACCAAACTACTTCCCTTCTCCTTCCACTTTTTTCTTCTCTCCTCTCCACTTCTATTCCTATCTCCCACACCTTTTAATAAATCTCTCACCTCCGAATACACACCCTGTTCCAGTTGGACCCAACACGTAGCAAAACTGTGTGGATGTTACAGTAATCTTACGGCATATTAATCCACAGGAGATTAAGTGGATCAAACGTGCCTCATTATGATATTATGGGGATATTATGTTAGAATCATTGTCGTTGGCGAGCGGTTTTACCAGCGGTTCTTATTTCATATAGTCGATAATAGTAATAAATCGTTTCTAATAACAATAAAAATACTATAGTATATTATGATCTATCACGTGTGTCTCCAGAGTTCAACGAATTCTTCGTAAAATGAAGAAGTTATCAGGAAAGGCCTTACGAATAAGCTCGCAAGGCCATTATTTATACAAATATACTGTTTAAAAATATGTTTTTCTATTTCCAAATTCATATTGTAGCATTTTAGTTGTGTTTTAAAGCTACACTGAATTCTTATAAAAAAAAAAGTACTTTTACTCACCTCTAAAGTTTCCAATTTAATTGTTTTATAACACTTCTCATCTGTATTCAATTCTTTCTTGAAATTTTTAATATCAACTTTAAATTTTTCTTCTTTTCGTTTAATTGTAAAGTCCGAATATTTCGTTTCTAACTCTTCTTTTATCTTCATTTTCTCCATTTACGATATTTTCGTATGTCAATAGTCTGTATTCAATCAAAGAATTAATTAATTAATTAATGTTTGTTTGTAATTTAAAGCAAGTAACAAAGACGAGTAAACTCAATGCTCTTGTTCACGTTGTAGCAGTAAATAAGGGGTGCACCCTCAAGGTTAACTAAAGAAACTCCAGTGATGACGCGTCACTAGCACACGTGATATCACACTTTGCAGCTATAAAATCACGTGTTATATGGTGTTTTTGTCAGAATTTGGATGTGATAAAGGGTGGTGTCCAGGTAAGACATAGAAGGAGAAAACTAAAAAGGAATGTACGTTAGAGCAGTGTTTCTTAACAGGGGAGCCCGTAAGAAGTTTGCCGGGGGGCCGCCAAATTATGCAAAATTTCCTTCAGAATATAATAAAAAAATATCGATGTATCACCGAATATTATATTGAAAAGTGAAATAAGAAAGATAAAGTTTTCGTATTTAGTTTTTTTTTATTTATTTCTTATTTCTCCCTACTTACAACTTTGTTAGTACAGAAGAAATAAATGCAAATATGCTACTTACACCGCAGTATTTACTTCTTTTATTCCAAAGTAATTCTAAGAAACTAATAATGTTTGGAATTTTAAAAATAAAGCAATAATAAAAAAATCAATTTATTATAGATAACTAGCTTACCCGTCGCGCATTGCTGCGATCTCAGAAGAAACGAAATTTAAGCAAACTTGTTATGATAAAATTCAATTTACATTTTATCATTTTTATTGAAACTTATTATTATTATTCATTTTTATCAGTAAAACATTTCAAAGTGTCGTTTCAATTCTATTTATTTATTGGAGTGCTTGTGGATACACGATATTTTTTGTATTTCCGTCTGGTGCGTACACGAATAAATCAGGTTTTCCAACGCGTGAGCTGGCCACATAGTTGTCCATGCGAGAAGCACGGGTTCTCCAAATTTAGCCCATACACTCGCAGCGATTGTCAGAAGTGCGATATTCCCCATTTATATATATATATATATATATTTAGTTTTAATTCTTTATAATTTTAATTATTTAATTGCTCCTTCCTCTCTTCCTTGGCACGTTGTGAAATTTCTGATAGTTGGATAATAAACCGTTTTATTGTAATTTGT